GGTGACGACTCGAAACCAAGATGGTGACAACCAAAAAACAAGATGGTGACGACTAGAAACCAAGACATGACGACTAGAAACAAAGATGGCGACGACCAGAAACCAAGATGGCGACGACCAGAAACCAAGATGGTGACGACTCGAAACCAAGATGGTGACAACTCGAAACCAAGATGGTGATGACTCGAAACCAAGATGGTGACGACTCGACACCAAGATGGTGACGACTCGAAACCAAGATGGTGACGACCAAAAAACAAGAGGGTGATGACTAGAAACCAAGATGGTGACGACTAGAAACCAAGATGGTGATGACTAGAAACCAAGATGGTGAAGACTACAAACCAAGATGGTGATGACTAGAAACCAAGATGGTGGCGACTACAAACCAAGATGGTGAAGACTACAAACCAAGATGGTGGCGACTACAAACCAAGATGGTGAAGACTACAAACCAAGATGGTGACGACCAGAAACCAAGATGTTGACGACTAGAAACCAAGATGGTCACGACTAGAAACCAAGATGGTGACGACTAGAAACCAAGATGGCGACGACTAGAAACCAAGATGGTGACGACTAGAAACCAAGATGCCATCTGCACCAAACAGAGAATTCAGCTGGGTGACATTAAAATAATTTGGATTGACGGATTGAATGCACCCCTTCTGCATCTGGTGGTGAAACCCTGAGTTACAGAAGGAGGATCCCTGAAGGATGACGTCAGTGAGCTGCAGACAGAAGGTAAAAGCAGCAGCTCAGAGTTTCAGATCAGTGAGGAGAGCAGCACCTCACACACTCTGGATCTCTGTATTATACACATTAATATAGGACGCTCAGTTTGGATCATCTGTCTTATGTGTTCTCATGATGAGGAACATGTGTTCACTGTTGTTGCCATGTTTAAAGTGACATCTACATCCAGGTAATGCACTGCTCATGTTGTGATGCTTGAAGAACCACAGGAGGATCATGGTGAACTCTACTCACATTTCATATTTTATACTGACTGCATACTCTGAAACGGGGTTTTTGAAATACCTATATTTCCTGATCATTCTTGCTTTGTATATTTGTATCATAGGTGCCAACGTGTTGCTGATTGTGGTTATCTGTGTGAACAGGAGCTTACATGAACCTATGTATCTTTTTCTGTGCAGCCTGTTTGTAAATGAACTGTATGGTAGTTCAGGGCTGTTTCCATTCCTTCTGGTTCAGATCCTCTCTGACATTCACACTGTCTCTGCTCCGCTCTGCTTCCTGCAGGTTTTCTCTGTGTACTCTTATGCAAATGTGGAATTTTTCAATTTAGCCGTCATGTCTTATGACAGATATCTTGCTATCTGTTATCCTCTGCAATATAGCTCACATATGACGTATAATATGGTTGTTGTGCTTATTGCCGCCATATGGTTTCCTCCTTTTTTTGCTGTCTTTGTCACGATATCACTGACTCTTTCTCTACAGCTGTGTGGGAACATCCTGAACAAAGTTTACTGTGATAACTATTCCATTGTTAAGCTGGCCTGTTCTGACACTACAGTCAATAATATATATGGACTAATTTTTACTTTTATCTTAGTCTCTTGTCCTGTGTCTCTGATCGTGTTCTCGTACATGAGGATCCTCAGAGTGTGTTTATCTGGCTGTAAGCAGAGCAAACAGAAAGCTCTCAGCACCTGCACACCTCACCTCGCTTCCCTCATCAACTTCTCCTTTGCAGTTTTCCTAGGAGTAATACAGGGCAGGTTTAATATGAGCGGCGTACCCAACACGTTGAGAATATTTTTATCATTATATTTCCTCACATGCCAGCCTCTCTTCAGCCCTCTGATGTACGGCCTCAACATGTCCAAGATATACATCCTGTGTAAAGATCTGCTGCTAGCTGGGGTTAGGAATAACCTCTAACAGATGAGTTCAGTTTGAGTCAGAACAGGAGTTATAAATGTTGTCTTTAAAGGTCTGACCTTCTTCAGAAAGTGACCACAATCTGTTGCTGCAGTCAGTCAATGATCAAAGTCAATAGAAGTTGTCCATTAAGCATGAATAAAGTTATTTAAATTGAATGATTGTGTTTAATTTCTAGGACTAACACCACAAACAGAAATCATTCAGGAGAGAATTTACGGAAACTGTCACGTCAAGTTTTAGCAGTTTTATTAACTTAATTTAAATTCCCACATCTGCAAGTTTGGGGTCTTTACAATCTGTACAACATACGACCACTTGGACTTACAATAACATCTCTTGAACAGGATAAAAGACTGTTTGTGTGTCAGGATCAGTGTGATGATATAATGAGAAACATAATTACGATATTAATGAGACTTAAACATAAAATATGAGCTTATCCGGTGTCAGACTGACTGCATGAAGGTACAGAATTATACCCATTTCTTCCTGAATAATATACATTTACTCTATATATTTTTATATAAGTATTGTACTTAAGTTCTCTTTGAGGCTTCAGTTTACCCTTTCCATTTTCTAGCTCTCGCATTAAATGGCACACCACAGTTTGTTACGATTACACACATGGAATGACTATTTGTTGTGACAGTTTTAAAGGAATCTTAAAGTGTTTGTATTTGAAAACAAACCCATGACTAGGCTTGGTTCGAGCACTGCTTCATGACAGTAAATGATGAATGCACAGACAGGAAGTGTATTTCAGTAAATTATACGTACAATTTGTTAAATACAAAACAATAAACATTTCTTAAATAACTTTAAAGTAAAGTGAATTACCCTACCATCCGATCACAACAGTACATGAGCTTCTTTGAACTAAAGTGACGTACACATTACACAGTGTGACTTCACACAATGTTATTTCTTTTCAAACAGATTCACTATAAACATCAAATCAAATACCTCACAAAACCACTTATTTTGCTTCAGTATTATAACTGCTCCGTCTTCATCAGCCAGATGAAACACTGTCAGGTTTTTACGTTCTCTAAAGTGAAGTTGTCAACAGCTTTAGCTGTGTGCTACAACAGTGAGCTAATTGCAATGTTCACTTTAGCCAGCTAGCTTAGCCTAGTACCAGCGCAGCATTTATTTTATTATGTGTTCACCAATTCAGGAGCTTTTCTTTGTCCGTTGTCAGCTCTCAACAGCAAGGCTTCTCAGACACCCTAGATCAGTGCTTCTCAAACTTTCTTCAGTAATGCACCCCCTTTGAAAAAATGTCTCAGCCAAGTACCCCCTGACTGACCCCCGACATTTTTGATAGAAAAAAACCTATATAAATAATTGCAATATAGTGATGTTCCCTCAGTGTGTGATTTATTAACTCCTTCGTGCATAAATTACAACAAACTAAGGATATTTTCATCTTTATGCATGAAAAAAATGTGTTACGTCCCCACTAAGGTCTAGGGGAGGGGTTCCCAACCTTTATTGTGCCAAGGACCGGCAGATACATTAAAAAAAATGTGCGGACCGGTTGTCAATTTTAACTGATTTTAATATTTCCCCACCAGCAGGTGGCAACAGAGGCTAATTGTATTTAACAGCCTGAAGAAATACCAATATGCATCCAAAACATATTAATAACGTTTAAAACCAGGACACAATTAAAACAAAAAATCAGGACCGCTTTACCAATATTAATATAATATATAATATAACCTAATATGGCAACAGTGGTTAATTGTATGTAACAGCCTGAAAAAATAATAGAACAATATGCATCCAAAACATATTAACACAGTTTAAAACCAGGATACAATTAAAACAAATTAGGACCACTGTACACATATTGATATAACTGAAATGTCAGTGAGACCCCTGGGCTTGTTTGCCAGCCATAATAACGTGCGTTCGTTCCGGTGCACTCCGACAGCATTTAGCACTACATCGAGATTAAGATTAAACTAACTTCTTTTGGGAACACCCACATACCTAGGAGTTGGCCAGATGTGTGTAAATGTCATGGTAATTGTTCATGGTAATTTGAAAACAAATGCCGTTGTTGGACACACACAAACACACCGAACATACACACACACAGCGGAGCTGATCAGAGCACATACACACACACATCATGCGCCTTTGTGACCAGACATTTCCTTCATACAACGAGTAATAGGGGGAATAATCTGGCCGTCGATGTGTGTGTGTGTGTGTGTGTGTGTGTGTGTGTAGAGGTGTGTGTGTGAAACGTAGCAGCCAGCAGTGGGGAACACAGTGAAGGTGGTGTGTACGCGCTGGTGCTGCACTTCTCAGAGGCTGCCTCCTGATGCTGCAGCCATTTCATGAAGTGAAGGAGGTTTTACAAATAAAAAAAATAGCTCTACACCCCAATGTCCTTAAAATGAAGTCCGAGTTCGAAATATATCTCAAATAATGTATGCACTGCCATTTCCCATAAACATAACAGTCTGCGATTAAACGGTTGTCTCCTGTGTGCTCCACTTCCTACTGGCGCACCGGTAACTTTCTCTGTGCACGAGAGGCTGAGACCTTATGCTAACCAATTTTGATTTGGATGTAATAATATGACTGGTATAGGTGCGGGAAAAAATAAATAAATAAAATTGATAACATATTTTTAAATATTTATAATTCTGCAAATATTAGGATAAAATCACAGCTATTTCGCGCCCCGGCAGTAACACCTCCGCGGCCCGGCACCGGTCCACGGACCGGGGGTTGGGAACCCCTGGTCTAGGGGACCTGGAGACAATAACACACAACAACCAATAATTATGAGGGAGTCAGCGTAAAGTTTGACAAAAGGTTTATTCCTTGAACAACCTAACTGAACAGAAGTTTAAAACTTCTGTTCAGTTAGGTTGTTCAAGGAATAAACCTTTTGTCAAACTTTACGCTGACTCCCTCATAATTATTGGTTGTTGTGTGTTATTGTCTCCAGNACAGATTCAGTGAAAATAATTTACTAGAGCCTGACTTAAGACCTGATACAAACTTCTGTAATGTTGTACACTAAACTATTTCTGCAGGCTGTCTGCTGATAGTGTGCTTTGTGTTTCAGTGTGATGCATCAGTCCACCTGCTGCCCCCCCCCCATGGTCCAGCACTGAGNTGAAACCAAAACTCAAACAAAAACCCTCACTAACTAAACTACTCAGAACTGGACAAAACAGAATACAGGGGTGGCAACAATCCACTAACCTAGTGTGTCTTAACATTAGTTACCTACGTGATGAGAAATGTACAGGGTACCCCAGACTTACCTAACTCCCCCACCTCTCAACACACACACTTTCACAAAGGTTAGAACAAACAAGGTAGAATGACTTTCTACTCAAGGCAGTCAATTGCAGGCTCCTCAATCCGCAACAGGCCCAGGGTGAGAGAGAGAGAGAAGACTTCCTGGGTACCTCCTTTATGGTCGGCCCTGGCTGCCGATAGGCCAGCTGAGTACAGCCTGCCTGGCACGTAACACCCCCACACATATAAATCCAAACAGTATGTTTGGACCCGACAATAAACATAGCAAATAATTTCCTGGTTATCAGGGAGATGAGACAAATAATTGGACAAATCAGCCAATACCTCAGTATTGCTTAGGTGTTTGAATGACGTAGTTTGTTTCACCGAGCTTCTTATCTACAACATAAGGGCCAGAACATTTAGTAGACAGAGCAGAACCAGGTACAGGCAATAGAACCAACACCTTGTCACCTGGCTGAAACAAGCATGCTACCTCTGTGGAGGAGGTCAGTCAGGTGGGGGGGCCAGGTTATGGAGGGCTTTGTATGTCATCAGGAGGATCTTGTACTGAATTCTCTGGGGGATGGGGAGCCAGTGGAGCTTGATGAGGACGGGTGTAATGTGTTCAAGTACCTGTACTGGCAGCTGGTCTTTAGGATCCCCAGTTAAAGAAACAAAGCCCTTTGAAATAAAGGGTTTGAAGCAGGGATCAGGTACATCATCTTCCTGGGACATTCCTATGTCTGATAGGGAAACTCCTTTAATGAGTCCCATGCCTTTTGGTGTTTGAAAGTGTTGCAAAATTGTTGTTTACGCTTTAAGAGATGACACCCTGAAATAAGGTGTCCTGTTTTATGGCAGTAGTTACACTCGCGGGGCCCCCGTGGAGGTGATGGTGGTCCTCTAGACCTTTCAAAAGTTGTTGGGCCATAATCAGGTCTTCCGGTTTGCGATACTGAAGCTTTATCTGGGCGCAAGGGTGAAGAAAACACAGTCTTGTGAGTGAGCATAAATTAATCCGCTAAAACAG